AGACTTTGTACTCATATGTGTAACAGTTGTATTCCATTTGTTTGGTTTCATTCCTTTAATACCCAGTGTTGACCAACGTGTAGTTTCTCACAACATCTTAACTTAGAGCCTCTTCTAGCAAGAAGGGGCACAAATTTGTTTTAAGACAGAAAATTGGGAAAGTTGTAAAGCACAACAAAGCCTGCCACGATATGATTTTTTCATAACTGTCAATAAACTTTAATACCAAGAACATAGCTGGTCAGCAAATGCTGAAAATTAATGATTTAAAGTCATAGAACATAATTTTCATATCCTGTCTGTAACGCTTACGTCAACTGAAATTCAATCAAATCGAGACTTTGCTTTAGGCGTTTTGTTAACGAGCTGTTGGGACTTTTGTTGATAACAATGTGTTACAATGATGACATTAAGAGATCCTCGCAGCTAAGAACACTACTGAAACGAGTAGTTGTAAATTGTACCTGAAAAAAATTCAGGCCCGTACGGGATTTTTCAGTAGTGTTCTTAGCTGCGAGGATCTCTTAATTTCATCTCTCCACCGCAGTGCAAATATATGAATTTTCAAATGTGTTACAAATCGAGATAAGCAACCATTTTCCAGTAGAAGTTTAAAATGATATAATCTCCTCGCGCTAGGTGATTTTAGCGAGATATGACGCAATCCTTGACCAACCAGAGTGCATGCATCTCTATAGTCACCGGAGCAATTATACCTATCAGTCATTATTATCATAATTAGTATTACTATAATTGTTATTGTTACAAATTCTCTTGTTACTTAATTTTCCTCCTAACGTCGCTAGTTCCAAAATATATCTCATGTCTCTACATCCTCCTTAGAGTTTGATGCCAATCTTAATTTCCTTTCACATTATATGATTTTAGGCGGCACTCCTGTGAGCGAGGACAACAAGGAATTGAATCAGTTACACTCTGCTGAAAGAGACAGTAACTTCACTGAGATGAAATTGACGCTGCCTCGTGGATTTTCTGTTGACTCCAGGAACGCAAAAGGCACAACGCCGCTAATGAATGCTGCTTTGAATGGCAACGTTCAAGTGGTGAAAAGTGTAATTAAAAGGGGAGCAGACCCGTCTCTGATGGACAACAGAGGATGGAACACGTTACATTATGCCGCACAGGGCGGAGACACTGATATTATTTCTCTAATCCATACTCACCTGCCCAACATTGAGTCAAAAACAGGCGAGGGTTACACGCCACTAATGGTGGCGGCTTTCACTAGCAAATTACATGCAGTGAAATGGTTTCTTGAGAAGGGGGCAATTGTAGCCTGTGAATGCAACAGAGGGTGGAACACGTTACATTTTGCCGCACAGGGCGGAGACACTGATATTATATCTCTAATTCATACTCACCTGCCCAACATTGAGTCAAAAACAGGCAAGGGTCACACGCCACTAATGTTGGCGGCTTTGTATGGCGACTTACATGCAGTGAAATGGTTTCTTGAGAAGGGAGCAACTGTAGCGAATGAATGCAACAGAGGATGGAACACGTTACATTATGCCGCAGAGAGGGGAGACACTGATATTATATCTCTAATCCATACTCACCTGCCCAACATTGAGTCAAAAACAGGCGAGGGTCACACGCCACTAATAGTGGCGGCTTTGTGTGGCAAATTACATGCAGTGAAATGGTTTCTTGAGAAGGGGGTAACTGTAAATTGTGATAGCAACCGAGGATGGAATACATTACATTTTGCCGCAAAGGGCAGTGACCCTGATACCATTGATCTTATCCTTACTCACCTGCCGGACATTGAGTCAAAAACAGCTGATGGTAAAACACCTCTTATCATCGCTGTTCTTCATGGTAAGCTGCAGGGTGTAAAGTGTCTTCTTGAGAGGGGAGCCAATCCTTCGGCTAAAGATAACGATGGACAGGACTCTTTACATCATGCATCATCATTGGACTCGGATATCTTTGACTTACTGCTGAGTCACGTGCCTTGAAGTGAGTCAACAACGGGCAATGATTAACTCAGGTTGGTGAAGTAAGCTTTACAGCTTATTTTATGTTTGCTTAACTCTTCAATGTCAAAATGTAACTCACTGCTTTGTTAGTTCAGTCAACTTCAAAGCCATTCTTTTTACCAAGTGATCTATTGCTGCAAATTGATGTTTTTAACAGGCTGTGTGTTATTTGATATCTTATCGACTTGGCCTACTTACAATCTCTACAAGTTGTGAGCTGAGTAACAGTTTCGGTACTGAATAGCTTATGTCGTTAAAGTTGCACTGGAGCCTGGGCTTCCTGTGGCGTGTTGGCTGGGCGTAATGATTTGATTTTTGAAAGCTTTCATGAAATCAAAGTTATACATAAAGTTACCTGAAAACAAAAGTCAGTGGCATGTGGACAGGCTCTGTCAGAGCATAACCATAAGCTAAAAAGATATGAATGATCCGAATGAATCCTATGTTGCGGTGTTATTGCTGGGCTGCATAAGACGATGTACCAAGATATACAGCCTCTTAGTGCAGCGTGTTCTTGTTCAAATGTCGTAGGAATCTTCATTTCTCTTCCTAAAATACTCATTGGTTTTGTCTCTTAGATTGCAGATTGCGTGGTGTTGTCAATAGTTGATGTTCTTGTGTGGCTTGTACTATACAGGAAAAACTGTCAGTGTTGGAGATTTTTGAAAATGAACACACTCTGGTCACAGCCTGAAGTATATGTCTGTACAATATTGCCGGTGATTTTATTTCTATGTAGTTAAACGTTTTTAAAATTGATATGATGTAATGTATATTTCACAACTACGAGGTTGTTTTTTTTTACTAGAAGGCATTAATTTCGAAGACAGAAGTAAAGATTTCTGCAATGTTACCGGCCTCTTTATTTTTTCCTTATTTAAGACGTTTTGAAATTAATATGACTATGTATATTTTTCACAAGTAAATGGGTGTTCTTTTACCATATAACATTTTTGTATTAGAAAACACGTAATTGTAATATTATAGCTGTGAAGTTTTATGCGAAAGTTGGAAATATGAACGTTGAACAGGTTTATGAACAAGTTTATGTCCCAAGCTAAGAATGCGTTTTGATAACATTTGTACCGAGCTAAAGTCGAGGTTTTAAATACTATTTTATATAATAGTAAATAGCCTTTACATTTCAAGCGATGTACAGAATATCTCATTTTTCGAGGAAATTTGTTAATAGAATACATGAAGAAATTTCTGCATTCTGATTGGTTGCAGTACAGTTTTCAGGCAACACCAATGCAGAAGAGAGCTAATGCAGTGCAGAACATCGTTAATTCAGTGAAAAAACGATAACGAACTTTTTAATCGCTTAAAAAAGAAAGGCACGTCGAAAAATTTCCACTTTTACTAAACACGTTGATTTGACCTAACGCACAATGAGGGAGGTAGGCAAGGTTTGGATGAACCATTTTGTACATGTTTTAACTCTCTTGGTTTCTGCGTTATCAGGTGAAGCTATATCGAAAATTAGATCATTTATAAATGAATTAGAAGTGACATGAATTTTCTTAAGCAATTTGAAATGAGTAAGCACTCGTAATTTTTAAAAAGACTTCAAATTGCAACTCCAATCGTAACAAATTTTTAGTTAACCTTTGTAAGCGAGGTTATAACATTAGTCAATAAATTTGTATATCACCGAACGAAAGAAAGTGTTGTTTGTCTTTCACTTCACACTTTCGTGGCCGCTGCCGATGTGGAGGAATGACCAAAGTTGCCTGAGATGTAGGCGGTGGCTCAACGGTATGCTAGACTAGAATATAAAAGGATTTTTGCTTTTTTCTTTTATTTCTAAGAGGTCTAATTGATATTTAGGTTGTGTGTTCAATACATATTCATTACATCAATGTAATTATACGACGGAGGTAAGGATTGATTTAATCTGGAGCAAGAAAAATTCAATTAAATGAAATTTACATGTCACTAACAAGCTCCTAAGAACATTAAAAGCTTCAGTGGCAAAATAAAATTTTCTAAACTGCATCTATTATTTAGTCTATGTGGTGAAACGAATATTGCGCGGACGAGCGCTGGGTATTTCCACGTAAATTGTTTGGCCGCCAACGCGTTTTTATTTAAAGCAGAGAAAATATGGAAAGAGAGAGGAATCCTTGAAACGAGAGTAGAATATAGATAAGGGAAAAAGTGGCGGGGGGAAGGGGCTTACAAACCCGCCTCGATGTTTCATGGAATGCTGAAGGCAACGCTTCGGCTCTTAAATAAAAGGCACTATAGCTTGTATGTTGAAGTTCAGCGGAAATGTCTCCTAGCCTCTTACATCAGAAATAAGACGACCAGTTGTACTTCCCCAAAGCATAGTTCCATTACTGGAATTACCTGCTAAAGCAACAGCCACCGCTTCAGTCGCCGCCATAGCTGCACCAACTGTAGCGGATACAGCTACAGATGCTGCGGCAATTTCAGAATCCATTCCAGTCACACCAGCCTGAGGTACGATTACCTTCTCGGCCAGAGCCGTAGCTACGGACTTAAAGTACATGAACATATACCAACACGCTGAAGGACTGAACATATACCAACACGCTGAAGTAAAATAAGAACCTTACAATTACACATATTGTAGATGCCAACGAATAAGGCAACAACGGACAAGGCAATAATTAATAAAATAGACAAGCCCCAAGTTGGATTAAACGTGATACCAATTGTAACCCAGTACAAAAGGTGCAACAACAAGTTTATGCTCATCATTAGAGAAAATCTAGAGCAAATTAAATAAGATAATGTGTTCCATGGCTTTAAGTTTTGAAACTTGAACAGCGGTGAAATAACACCGCGAAAAAGTCCAAAACTATGACCACAAAAACTGCATAAAAGTCTGAAGGACTTACCTGTGACTTAATATGCACTACATGTCAGCAGCACGGCGCAAATAGGTGCAGCCTCAGTCACTAACAGGGAATAACACAGAAATGTCACAGAACTAACCAGTGATTTTTCTTTTCAAAATCCAAATTCAGAACAACAACATTTAGCTCCCTAAGAACATAGCTTACAACTCTTCTTGTCGTTAGCACTCACTTCCAAGTATGCCAAGGTAAAGTAGAATAGTAATGGACTTATTGCAGTTTTTGTGGTCATTGTAACATGTCACATATGACAGAACACCATAAAAGGGCCTTTAAGTAATGAATGCGTCCTGTGGCCTCGATGTCTGGAAAGTGTCCATCTGTGACGCATTGCGCACGTAAGCTTGGATTTACAACAAGATCTTGGAGCTGCAGAATAATCAGACGGTTATAGTATCTGTGAGGAATCTACCTATAAAGTTATGGTAGAATGGATTAAAAAAGGTTTTTATTGATATGTAATAACACATTCTTATATCCTCTGTTGTTTTTACAGGTTGCAGTCACTTCCTTCGCAAGAAACCAATACAGAGCCTGTCAGTTACCATTCACAACAGGGATCATTAGTGGCGAGAGATTCTCAGCACACCTTGACTCAATGTTGGGCACGTGAGTGATCAGAGCAATAATTTAAGGGTTACCACCCAGTGTAGCATGTTGTAATGAATTCCATCCTCCGTTGTTCATCAGACACAGATCTTAATGTCTGACACAATTTTCAGGATGTTAATTCAGAGAATTTGGTATGAGATCAACTTCTAATCCCCTACTTGATATTTTCTTAATTCTCTTCACTTGGCTGCTTAATATTGTATTAACATTGTGAGGGGAAATTCTGTGTTGGTCACCAATGGAAGTCAAAGGGTTAAACAACCATGCACAGGTAAATAACAAATCAGTTTTAATAGCATGTTATTATTTTAATAGTGTCTTTATTGTCCATGAATACACATAAAAAGATCATAATCAGACAAACTTGTTACAAGTGAGAATTACTCAATACATCATTTGAATGGGCATCGCGTTATACCAAGATAGAGCGTGACATTTGAGTGTTTTTGGATTGCCGGGCATTGTTGATCGTCTTTCAAATTTCAAATGGTAAATTAAAAAAGCCTTATTTCAACTTGGGTCTCCTGCAATGACTATCAAAACAAAGTTGTCTTTCTTAATTTAGATAGCATGTCTTGCTAGCGTGAGAGACAGGTGTGTAAAAGCAAAACAGTTGACTTAGGGTGTGGATAAAAATGACACTTAGGAGGTGAATGGGATTCAAGGGTGGGCTCCATTTAATCGTGCAATTTTTAAAGGAAGTTGGGGGGGAGGCTGTTAAAATTTGTTTTAACTATAGAGTTGACCGCTTGAACGATGCCATCCAGCACAACTTTCATTCGCTGCTTTCTGCCTGTTGCGTCTCTGGAGGCCATAGACAATCCAAAAGGAAGCGTGGACTTCGTCTTGGTGATGCCACTGTCTCTTTCAGCAGAGTGTAACTGATTCAATTTCTTGTTGTCCTCGCTCAAAGAGATTCCGCCTAAAAAAGCGTTAAATTTGAAAGAAATTAAGGCAACATAATTAAAAAACGATCTAGAGACAAGATTTATCGTGGAACTAGTAAATTTAAGTTTAGGAGAAACATTAGATGACAAGGAAATTTGATTTTTATTCACGAGTAGTTAAGTTTTCCGGTCGATCCGTAAACCTCATAATAGAGTCTCAGAGTCTCAGAGTCTCTCTGGCCATGACCGAGTGCGTCTACGCGTGGATTAAAATGCACGCGTGATCTGCGGGATAAGAGCGGATCACGGGCGTAGTGCACAAACATCAAGGGTGTAACTCGTTCCACCAAAAAGCACCACACGAAGTGTTCGAATAGTAAGGGTGTAGCATAGCTATCAATACGCACAAACATTTTGATAATTGATTCAAGTGCCAATTGACTGACCCATAGGCCATAAATGTAGATGCGGATAGCTATTTTTGACCAACATACTGTTCTATGTTTGGGAACTGACTAATTTCATTCTTTATTGCTTCAAGATTTATCTATCTATATAGACTCTCATAAGATCTCTTTTTTGGAGTTTAGTCAAGTAGTGCTTTGATTCACAAATGATAGGATAATAAAGTTCTACGGGTATTGTTTCCATACATTTCCTTATTAGTCGCAACTAAAGCAGAAACAGTTACACAATTTCTAAATTTGTTAAATTCAAGCTTCATCTCAGTCAGCAATTACATTAAGGTCTTTGCTTCACCATAGTTGATTATTCTAAATAATCTAAGATGCTAATAATAATCCTCTAACATTGTGAAAAAAACCTTAGAATTAAATTTACTTAGCTTTTATTATCTTTTTAAGAATTCCTTTTCGCTAGACCTTATAAATTTATTGATCTGTTCCTTACAAGCGAGTTTAACTGACAGTTACAATGACTTGTTTAACTCATATGTTTTTAGCATGTAATGAAAAGCGTATTAACTGCGTACGCCGGCACTCTTGTTTGTTCCAGCTCTCTGTTTTCAACTCAAGTTCATTAATAAGTATTGATTTTCTATATAATATATTATTGTTTTCATATTGTCTTCTATTTGTTTTCTTCTACGTTTATTTTGCAATTACCTATCAGATATTAAACAGCAATAAAGTTGTAAAAATAAAACACAACACAGTCTAGACAGCTGTGTGGAGCTTTGCATACACACAGTTAACCCTTGAGCCCCTAAGACTGACTTGCATCTAATTTCTCCTTACTATATCATGCCTATATCAAATGTAAGAGCTAGGAGAATAGAGATGATCACCAACTAAGACAGCTCTTGACTGTTACACAAATTCTCCTTGTCAGCCTCTTTGAAAATGCACGGAGAACAGTATGGAGAATATGCATACTGATGTTAGGGTATAAAGGGTTAAGAGAACATCTAGGTAATAACCTCTCTGTAAGTTAAAAGCATCAAGTTCGAACACTCTGTTGTTTGTAGCAGTCATC